TTGAGGGGTGAAAAAGATAATCCTAAGAATCAAAACAAAGAAAACAAGATTGTCAGATGTCGTCCGGGAGGTGATCCCAAAACAAAGCTCCGACGGTCAACTTAGTGAATTTCATTGAGAAAAGGTATCATATGGAGAGTATGAGACTAGTATTTAAGAGTCGATCCCTTCTCTTGGGGGGAGGGACCTTTTTATACATGTGGTCAGCGGAACAGATCCTCGACTGTATCTTCTGCTTTTTCAGGCATGGCAGGACGAGGCGGCCTTCGATTGGTAGATCGTGCCTCGTGGATGGCTATTTGCTATTGGTGCAAAACTGCCAGTTGGCCGATCACCAAGCACTACACATGTCGCTATGGGGAAACTAGCACTCCTTTGTCCTATCTGGAATGGGAGTTTCTTTCCTAAAAGGGGGCCAATCTCACGGCCAGATCGCTGATGCTAGAACGTGGGGTATTATGGACAATGGTTTGCTCCCGACTCTTGTCGGGTAGTGGGTTTTTGATGGGCCATTCCTGAGTTGACAGCTCTGTTATCCTTTGACGTTTCTCCGGGTGAGATATATCAACAAGTCCCCTAGGCTAGTGGATGTCAGCGTTTTCTCGGGCTAGCGAGGTCATTCTACCCTTAGGCCTGGACACGTGTTCATCGATGGTGGTTTCTGCTGCCTGTTGACGTGACAGATTCGTCTAAGTCGGTGGTTTAATCATTGTAACTGTTCGAGTTTCCCGCCTACATTTAAAACCTTCCTTATCCGATCTGCTTTCCTTTTTCCTTTGTTTCTTCTTTCCTCCAATATTCTTCTTTCTTTTCGTTCCTTCCACATTTCTTTTTCTTCGTTTTCGTTTCCCATTTGTTACCAGACCATGACATCTCTAAACACAAGTGTCGCTCCATTTTCTGAAGAGTTTTCTAGGCTGCAGGAGCGATTCAGTTTCCTCCCCGATCATGGGGTCGAGTTTCTACACAGGGGATCCGTCATCTCCTGAGCACCATAGGGTAAGGTCAGAGTTCCTATTCCCATCTTCGAGGTAGGGATCCGGTTGCCAACGACCGACTTTTTTAACGAGATCATGCGTCACTATGGTTTCACTGTCGACGACTTTACCCCCAACGTTATTAACAAGATAGTTTTCTTTGAGATGGCATGTTGGGCTCTGAGTGTGCTTCTCCAACTATGAACTTTCAAGTACTTCTTCAATTCATAGACTCAATATGGTATTCACACGTTTTCTCAATGCAGAGGTGTTTATGCTTTCATCGTGAACCAGAAGGCACCAAAGAAGAATTGGCAGGACAGGTGGCTCAGTGTGAATCAGGATTTAGTCGGTTATGGTTATCCCCGTAGATCCAACTTTTTTTACCGGATTCCTATTCTTCGGGGGACTAGCAAGCAAGTTTCCAATGATCTGAAGAGCATCTCTTTCAACGAGGATGACTGGGAAGACCGTACACTGGCCTCTATGGGTATGAGTGCAGCTTGGAGGTCTCGAAGAATGATGCCACAATTTTTCATTGTGAAGGATGGTAAGCACTCCTCCCTTCCTCCCTTTTTGTTTTGCTTTCCTTCGGTTGCGTTTTTGTTTCGTAGTTTGGTGTCCCCCCCCCCCCTTTTTTCTCTTTTTTGTGTGCTTGATCTTCTTGTTTTGTTTTTAGGTTGTGAGATCATCATTCCATTCGATATGGTTTTGAGGGGTCATTTTAGGGTGCTTGCCTTTATCGGGAGGTGTCGTTGGTGGCAGTGCTTCCGCCGCCAGTTAGCATCGGCCATGTATTGGCCCTCTCCAGGCCGATCAATACTTTGAGTCCCATGCCTGATCCTCGAGCTGACCCGACGCTAGTCGATTCTCCTATCGACGGTGTTTGTCGTGAAGACCCATTGCCTTATGACACAGAGGAGGAGGCCTCGACCGGTCTGGTGAGACAGGATACCCATGCAGCCTCCAAGCGACGGCTTTCCTGGTTGGATTCACCGCAGGCGGAATCTACTGGGACTAGCTCCTCGGGCCGATGCCGACTCAAGAGGCGGAATGTGGACTTCCTTTTGGGGGAGTCCACCGTGTTAGTGGACATCCCCGATGATGACACTTCAAAACATTCTGAGGGGGTGAAAGAAGGAGCGACGAAACTGCCCCGTGAACCCAATGAAGAGCCAGTGGAACCTATTGCTTTTGGTAAAAGTGTTTTTGGTGTTGACTCGGATGTTGCTCACAAAGATGCTCCAAACTCACCAGTCTTGCTTCTGACTGCGGAGGGTACTATTGGGGATTTTGCTTCTGTTCCTCCAACGGCGCCAACCATATATGTACCCAAATGGGGGATCACCCGGGAATCCCGCCTTACATAACACGCGGTGGCGTATCACTAGGGTTGCCATGCTTTTCCCCCTACCACTATCGAGGCTTTGGAGCTTCTTTCTAACTCACATCTTTCAAACAGTCTTTTATTTGCAGCTGCTCAGGTTGACTCATACATGGTGGTGACTGCTCGTCGCCTTCGTCAGAATAGTTCGAGTTTCGATGAGCTTGCTTTGATTAGGGCTGATCGGGATGAATTGAGGGCGAGGTTACAAGATTTGGATAGAGAAAAGCGTGTGTTTGATGGTCGTTATGATCTTTTGGCTGGGGAGAAGGCCTCTTTGGAGGAGCAAGTTGCGAGATTGGACGAATCTTTGGGGCTTTTATCTCAATGTGTGGAGTTGTTGGTTGATGAAAATGGGGTATTGAAGGGTCGCGTTGAGGAGTGTTGTGGGCAGCTGGAGACGGAAAGGGCGAAGAGGGAGAATGTGGAGGTGGATTTGTCTTGGCTCCTGATGAAAGGGATTGTCTAGGTTGTGGATAAACTGATTGAGAGCTTCGAGTTCACACTTGGGATTATGCAAATGAACCCGCCTCACGTGGCAGAAGAGGTTCCCCACCAAGAGGGCCTGCGGGACCATCCTGTAGCAACCCGAAGCGCTCCGCCAGTGGATCTGGAGGTTAAGCAGCCGCTTATGGGCGACCAACAGCGGCACGAAGAGCTGGAAAATCAACTCAATCACCACTTCCTTGGCAAAAGTGAACAAATAGGTAGCCTAGCCTATGACGATTTGTTGGATAAACAGATCCTCATAGAGGAAAAGATTGAAATAGCGCTACTTAACGAGGGTTTTAGTAGAGACCGGATTTTAGCGAACCGCTATGAAATTAGAGAACTTATATTTTATAAAGAGGGAGTTCCACTCAAGGAAGAAACGTTGGGGATGCACTTAGCCCATATCCAAAGCGATCCTTTCTCAAACATCCCATATCGTAAAATCCAGCGATCTATAAGGAATTTGGATCTGTTTTTTTCTAAGTAGAGGAATTCTACGGTTGAAATGGATGGTGAGTGCCCTGGGATTCACAGACAGATGTGGAGTCGTAACAAGGTATCCGTATCGAGGGCGCGGCTGGATTGAATCCTTTCATTTCAGGGGGGAGCTCATGCTTGTTGGGTATTACCTTTCCTGGAGCCTCTTCTAACTCACACATCATATAATTATGTGGTGGGCGGCATTGCGGGCCGACCCGAATCGGCGTGACCTCCTCAAGTGCCAGATATGAATGCTTTATTAATTTCATACGGGACTACTTACTTACCTAAAGTGAACTTTTGGCTTACCTAAAAAGTGGACTGAAGGAACTGACCTAAGCATAGCTCTCTCAAATAAAAATGCCTTTCATTTCTCTTTTAAGACCTTTGTCCTACTTCTAGTCTCAGTCCTCCAGCCTATCGAAAGTCATCTGAGTGTAATCAATATTGAATGAAGTTTATGTAGACTGAAAGCTTCGTAAACTAGCCCAATAGGCTATTCATCTAACTAGTTAAAGAAGAGAAGAGCTAGCACGAATTGTCTTTGCAGCATAAAATCCTGCTAAATGAATGCCTTTGCTTTGGCTTTGAAATCATGTTCCTGATTCAACTCCTTCATTCCATTGATTGATGCAAGTCTTTTTCCTTGTGTAAGAGATATTCCATCAAGTTTATAGAGACTAAAAGCTGCCTAAACTGGATCAATATTCAGCCAATCCCTTGCAGCTTTATCTCACTTCTACTTCTCGTGAGGCATTGCGATAGGAAGGAATGCCCAGTATACTACTTGAGCCGAGTGATCACAGGTCCGGGGACAAGGTACTCAGTTGTGGAAGGACACTGCCTCACATTAGTCTTTGTTACTCAGAAGTTGCATCACTACTTCATGTCCTTCACAGTTCATATTGTGACAAGATGTGACCCAATCGGAAGTTTGGAGGAGAAGCAGCCGAGCTCATTCCCTTCGATTCCTGGGCCCAAAGCAGTGTCGTCTTTCCTGGCCAAATCAATGATTTGGGGCTTCTTGCTACGCTACTTCACTAGAAAAATCCTTTTTTAGTAATAAATAAATAGAAAGATAGATCCATCCATCTATCCTATCTGATTTCTGTTTTGATATCGAAAAAAGAATCTATTTCATTCAATGTTTGATTCAAAGAACTGTGCTTAGCCCTCCCCCGCTCATGAAAGGGCTCTGCCGCAATGGATGGCAGAGGGTTCGTAGTACTCGAAGCACTGGAGTGATCCAGTAGCCGGGAAGGGGCCTAGAAGTGCCTACTACTACACTACACTACACTTGGCTCTACACATTTACAGAGCTAACCCCTGTCCAGTGCCTGGCAGAGCTATGGGCCGGCCCATCCTAACATCATTTATGAGGAGCCGGACGACGAAGTCTCCTCTTCAGATAAAGATGTCTCCGACGCAACTCTCCCGGCAATCAAAACTTTATCTATTTATTTGTTTTTTGGCGGGTTCGGTCAGGAGGGACAAAAGAGAGATTCTATCAGTCAAAAGCAGATACCGCCCCCATGCTCCTACGGTCCGCTTACCGAGGAATAGAAAGGAAGGACTCGGGGCCAGAGCAAGTTGGGTTGGGGTATAGAGCCGTAAGCGCGGTGGGGGTAACAAAGGACGTGCTCGTACGGTTCAGATAAGGTGTGTTTATGGCAACCGGGGTAGAGGGTGGCAAGCAGGTACTCAGGGAGCAGGTTGCTGCCAGGAAGTTTACACCTGGCGAGTCGAGCGTCCTTCTACAATATACCCAAGTCATTCATGCTGAGGTGAAATCTTTCTTGGAGACAGATTTCGCCTCCTACCTCCACCTTGGTGAGCTCAACATGGAAGGTCTTCGTCTGCTGTGCAGTGACCCTGATCTTGAAGGAGAATGTACTAAAGGAAGTACTTCTGGGACCGAACCTTCCCCCTACCCTCGATATGTGATTTTTGCTATCTCCCTTGTTATGTGTGGATTGCCTTTCGTTGGTGAAACTCAAACAATGTTTTCTTCTGAATGGTTTTTATTTGGTGAACAACTTTGACAATGTTTGTTATTCGTTTTTTAGTGGCCCTGCGTGGCTTTTTTCTAAGCCCGGGATCTGTCCGGTGCACAATTTGTTTTATTTTCTGAAAAAACATAGCTTTGTACTTTGCTTGTGGTTTTTTCGGCTTGATTCCTAGGGGGTTTATGTTGGCCATCCTGGGGCTGAGTTCTTTCCTAGACTCTGGTCTGTCCCAGGAATGTTATTTTGTGTTTTTGTTCCTGTTTAAGTTTGTATTAGGTGAGATATTGGCATGCAATTTTCTCTATTAAGCGAGGGTTAGTCATTTTGGTTATTGCCCTTTATTTCTCTTCCCCTCTTTTTCCTTTTAGAATTTTATTCGGAGTTTTGGGCTCGTGGGGCCCTGTCTCTGAGTTTGATTATGTAAGTCGTGTCGGGATCGTCATCCCGGGGCTTCGAAGCTTAGATATTGTTTTGTTGCGAGGCGAAGGTTATGATCCTTCAAAGCCTCTAGCTATCCCACATCCTAATTCTCACCGTCCTTAGAGCGGTATTTTAGTAGGGAAATGTTGCGAGCCTTTGAAGTCTATGATTGTGTTTTTTGCAATGGTTTCATGTAAGTGGCGCAGATGATCAGTCTGCCTTTGTTTGCCATTTGTATAAATGAATGTTAATACGCGTGAGTTTCAAATCATAGCTTTTCATTGCATATTTTCTAGTGTCTTAGAGACATCTACATCATTAGATAGGTATCGAGGTGGGATAGTTGATGCTATTCTAGGCCTAACTCCTGGGCTGGCTTGTTGCGGCATGATTATCCGTTAGGATTTTCATCACTTGGCCCATTCCCTGGGTTCCCCTCCCCCTCCCCCATTCTAAGACTGTTGGTCTAGGCTCTAGGGCTCGTAGGCCATCAAAGTGAATTCTTCTTCTTGGTCTTTCTTGGTTTGTGTCCCTTGGCGACTCGTGTCCACGAGCTCTTCAACATTCATGCTCGCACACGGGCCATGATTCGCTATTTTTGGGTTGGCCGTCTTTCAGAGGATGATCTTCATTTTCTCTACTCCCCGATTCTGGTTTCCTAGTTATCATCCAGGGATGAGTTCGTCTTGTTCGGCGTGCGTTTTTATGTTATTATGACCCTTTGTCTCCTTTGTGGTTTGATGTTCCCTCTATTGTTTGTTAGGTTCCCAACTAGATGTCATCCTAAAGGAAGCCTTTGCCAGTTGTGGACCCTTACGGTTATGGCGGGTCTCCTGTCGACATCTTCCATTATGGGGTAGCTACCTACCCTCGTTGCTCCGTCTTTAGAGGTTTACCCCCTTGTGTTTCTGGTCGAGCTGCGAGACATCGTGCGTATGCCCCATTGTTTCCTCTTTTTCTGCGCTCTGGTCCTTCGTTGTGTGACGGCATGTTGTCAGGCTTAGTGGTATCCAACCGTGCTTGGTGTTCATGATGACTATCCTCAATGTTTCTGGCATGATAATGTTGTTGCTATCGCACCCTTCTCCCCCCGGGATGTTTGTGTGGGGGTGGCAACTTTTCCCCCTGTCCTTGATCTGGGTGGTGACTACTGTTGTGCGCCGCCTTCTTGGAATATGCACAGTAGCCCAGGCGATGATCGCATGTTGTTTCTTTGCCCATGGGTTGAGGGCGGTCACTGTTGTCGAGTCGTTGGTTGTCCTGAGTTTTAGTGTACCATGTATTGTTGATGGGATGGCTTGGAGCTGGAAAAGGGATGGTCGCCCATGGATCATATCATCGTCGGACCTGTGTTTTACTACTGAGAATTCGATTATCCTTGTTACCTTTTCCTTCCCATCGTGGATGAGTATTGTCAATGGGAGGCTTATGTTCCTGAGCGGCCACAACTTGTATCCTATGAAGGTGACGAGTGGGGCTCGGTTCGGTGGTTTTAGATTCTTTTTCCAGGATGTCGGGAGTCGTTCGAAACAGTGCTCGTAGAGGAAGTCAATGCTGCTGCCTCTGTTGACCAAGGCTCTCCAAATCTGATGTTGTTGGATGTAGGCAAAGATTATGATTAACTCTGTGGGGTCCTAGTCGGGCGCTCGCGGGTCTCCCGGTAAGAAACTTATGTTCATAGTATCTCCAGGTAGGGCACCGATGCTATTGTTTGTTGATCAGTGCCTGGCTTTGTCCTGGGGCTTCGTGATTGTGAAGATCTCTTCCTTTTTGACTGGTTGTTTATTTGCTTCCTTCCAGGTTCGCCCGTGTTTTTGTTTGGCTTTGGATTTTGATCGTAGGGTCTTTGCAATCTCCGTGAGGTATCCATTCAATTTTTTGTTCGCTACTTCTCTTTTGAGGATCGTGCATTCCCGGTGTCATGGGTTTTGCTCATGTGGTATTCGCAATACTTCCCTTTTTCTTTTTCCACCCGCTAAGGGGTTTTATCCACACTATGTACTTCCGTCCTATGGCTCCTAAGCTCGTCCTTGAGGAATGGGCGGAACCTGCGGGATGAATGTCTCGAATATATGTTATTCTTGTCGTGACTTCCATCGTGGCGCTCCTTGTGACTATGGTGGGAGTGGGAGTCAGCTGATTCTTGTTTGAGGTATGCGTTTGCTACAACTTTTAGATTGGCTTCTTTACGCTCTTCTCCCTCGATTTGCCTGAGATATTTTTCGACCCTATACTTTAGTTCGTCCCTAGATTTTGTCACTGGTCCTTGCATTTTCCTCGACAGGGGCCTGGGAGTAACCCCTGGGAGAAAGCGCCTGTGACTAGAAACTCCTCATGATCGGGGACGATCAAAGTTGCACGGGTAAACCGGTTATAGTACGCTCGGATGGACTCTCCCTCTTGTTTTTTGCAAGCCATAATGGAATTGGCATCTCCTTTGATTTTCCTTAATTGCATAAAATTGTTGAGGAAAAGATACCTCAATTTTTCAAAGCTGGAGATACTTCCCAGACGCAGTGGCTTGAACCATTTGCTAGCATTTCCTGATAGTGTGACTGGAGGTAGGTACAGGTAAACCTCTTATCCATCCGTAGTGATGTCATTGTCCATTCGTAGGTGTCTATGTCCTCATCAGGATCTGTCATGCTGTCATACTTTGGAATGTTTGGGATCATGGCGGAATGCGGTATTTCGTACAGTAAGAGCTCTTGGCAGAATATTGAGTTGATGCTCGTGGCCGGGCTTCCATGTGTGGGTAGGTGAATGTTCCGCCATCCATCACCTGTTATACGTGTTATAAGCTGTTGTACCCTTCGTCATACCCGTATTGGTACCCGTGGTTATACATGGTTACTTGTGGCATGTATGGTGCCTACGTGGAGTATGTGTGCATCAGTTGGTTCGGTTGTGAACTTGAGTCCATTGGCCCCGTAGTGTGTGAGGTCATCTCCTACACTGGTGTGCCTTGACTGTTGTGACTTTGCGACTGCATTGTTTGGGGATACAGACCTTGGTAGTGGTATGAGTATGGGTTGAACGCCGTTTGTTGTGCGAATAGCGAGATGTGCGACATGCTGGCCATCGGGGAAGACTGATGACTTATGGACGACAGTTGTGTAGTACGTAGAATGGTAGCTGGGGACCAGGTGTTGGTCCCCACCTATCACAGTGGTGGCGTAGGTTGATTTTTGTTGGTTTGTGATTGGTTGGTCGGCACTCTTTGAGGCACTGTGGTGGGTGTCGTGGTTGGGCGTTCCATTGCGACTGGCGACGGTCACCATAAACTCTGCGGACCTGGTTGCTGGCGTTTTCGGTGTTTGTATGAGCGGTTACCTTTCCAGTGTCGACGGACCGCTCCCGTCGAGGGACTGCATTATTTTGATTTGGCTAGTGTCACCACCGTCCGACCATATGGTCCTTTTTCCGTCGCCTCCGGCGCCTAACGTCTTTAGATAGGTTGTGCAGTACTGAGTGCACGCCCAGATGGCACCAACAGTTATGATATGTCTCCGACTTAACTCCGTCTCCTTGAGGGGTGAAAAATATAAGCCTGAGAATCACAGCAAAGAAAACAAGATCGTCAGATGTCGTGCGGGAGGTGATCCCGGAACAAATCTCCAACGGTCAAGTTAGTGAATTCCTTTGAGAAAAGGTATCATATGGAGAGTATGAGACTGAGATTTAAGATTCAATCCCTTCTATTGGAGAAGAAGGGACCTTTTATGCCTGTGGTTATGGTAACTGATCCCCGACATGATCTACTTTTTCAGGAATGGCAAGACAAGGCGGCCTTCGATTGGTAGATCGTGCCCCACGGGTGGCTATTTGCTATTGGTGCAGAACTGCCAGTTGGCAGATCACCGAGCACTACACATGTCGCCTTGGGGCAACTAGTACTCCTTTGTCTTATCGGGAACAAGAGCTTCTCTCTTAAACGGGGGCCAATCCTGAGGCCAGATCTTCGGTGCTAGAACGTGGGGTCTTATTGACAATGATTTGATCACGGCTCTTGTCGGGTAGTGGGTTTTTGATGGGTCATTCCTGAGTTGATGGCTTCGTTATCCTTTGATATTACTCCCGGTGAGATATGTCAACAGGATGTGTTGATTTTACGAAGAGGTTGGCAAGATCATATGGATTGTGTTAGTGCAGTTAATATTCTAACCGAGTCAGATTTTGTGGACGAAATCTAATTTAAGTGGGGGAGAGTTGTAACACCTAGTTTTGAGAAGTTTCTTATTTCAGGGTTGTGGACAATAAATGGATCAAGTAAAGGCCTTGGATTTCAATGGAATAGGGTTTAGACCCTAGTGGATGTTGATAATATTGGTAATGAGATCTAAGCCCTTGGTTTTTGTTTTGGAGTCAAAGGGTAAAAAGGGAAAGTGATGTTTCATACTTCTTTCATAAATTAACGATTTTAGTTTGGTATGTTTTAAGTAAAAGGTAATTAGATAGAATTGTGGGGCTCTTCAATACCTTTTATGCATATAAAGAACGCCAAAAACGAAGTTGAAACGAAGAAGTTACGGCTGTTTGAAGTTGAAGTGGAAATTGGGGGTTTTTTCCTACACAGGGCGTAGCTGCTACGCATGGTGTAACTAAACATTATGCAG